TGCTATCTAAATTAATATTTCTGGTAAACCCTCCAGTTATCTGATAAATAGCACAGCTATGTGCTGGGACATTTTCTGTTTGGGGAACATATGCATTAGATTGGAATCTATTATATAAACAGCAAGCACAGGAATGTTTCTCAAATCTCTAGTTCAGAGCACCATAAATGGCTATACCTCACCTGTCACTTGCATCTGTTCTCTGATGCCACAAACTGGCTTAATCAAAGTCGTAATTGATATATATTTTATATGTTATTTAAAACTTTAAGGTAACCTCTTTGTATTGAATGTTCATGTAGGTGAAAGTAGTTTCAGTTGTCATTTTACATGAAGATAAGTAACTATATGGCAATTTACTTAAGTGTTGATTTGTTAAATAGGAATTGTGTAAACATATTTAGTACTTTCCCTATTTTAATATAGTGAGAATCTCTAGGAAACAGGACAATGACAAGCCTTACAGTTATATGTAGAAGATGGGCAAAGCAATGATTCTGAGAATCTCCAGAAGATTTTTGAATCTAGCAGTTAGTTGGAAAGAATCTCACCCTGACTAACTATATATACTGATACTTGTGAACTAAGCAACTGCACTGAAGATGGTAATCTGTAATAGTAGTTTCATGCTTGGAGTGCCTGTCATTCTGGTCTTCTGAATATAGGCTGCTTGTCATGACATGCCAGTTGCTGGTATGCATCTACCCAAGAGATGATTGTTCAAAAAGAAGAGGGTGGTGAATGAAGGCAAGAGACAGGAAAAGGAATATAGTGGGACTGTCCTGCTTCAAGGCTGTATATGGTTATATTTTTGGTCTTATGTGTAAACATAATAAGTATATAATTCTTTATGCCTATTTTTAAAATATGTTCTAATTTTTAAATATTTTTTCATCATATTCTGTAGGAACTTAAAGTTCAACATATCAATACTTGAGGAAAAATACCTATTCCATGTTATGCCTAAGATGTTTGATATTCAGACAGATAGTGAGGTTAAGCTTAACAGCCTAGGTTGTATGCTAATAACAATAAACTTGTCTTCTGGATGGTTAACAGCCTAAGTTTGCAGACCAAAATTAGAGAAAAAGGAGGGCTGCAAGGAAAGCCAACATTTTGGCCCTGGCCTTCCAAGGTCATTTAATACTCAGGACATATGAGAACTTGTACTGTAATATCATGTAACTCGGTAGTGTCCCAAATTTTCTGATCAAGGAGATTATGGGGCCAAAGAGGAAAGTGATCAATGATGTAGAGTGTGCCTAAGGAGAGTCACATGGAGAGAAAACATTCTCTCAGGCTTTCACAGAGAGCACAAAGGCCAAGCAATGGCCATGACTCATCCACATGGCTGACACTGACAAAAGTTCTACAATCTGAGGTACAGTATCTCAGCATAAATTCTGAGGGGATTTCACTGACCTTATCAGACCCAAAAGCTACAATTCTTGTTGCATAGGTCCTGCTTTACTTGGTCTTAACCATCCAGTAGAGAAGTATAAAAATGATACATAAGAAGTAAAGGCATGGTGTTATGTTGAGCTATAGGGGACTCAGGTCAACAATTTCTGACATTTCCAGTCAAGCGCAAGACCCAATACTATTATGGATTACTGGACTCTTTTAGAATATTTTGCTGAGTTTACACACCTATAATATTCAAATAATTGAACTTAACAAAATATGGGGCTACAGATGAATGTCCATTTTGTATCTGTGTATTCAAAATGGTTAGGATAGATATACAGTTGCATTCTCTTAATGAATAGAGGGATTGGTCTAATAGTGTTTGTAAATAGGATATCATGTCCGCATGTTGTACAGTAATTACCCTCTAGGAAGAATGTATGCAATGTGTTAATTATTGAAACTGTCCTACCAATTTGATTTGAAACTGTCTCATTGCTATTTGTTTCTCAATAAAATTATGGAATAAATATGGACTTGTGCTGCATCAATGCCTTCAAGAAGCCCAGTCCTGGCTCAGTCCCAGGAAAATTTCTTGTGACTTGGTGCATGAATTCTTCCTCCTTCACAGCTTTCCCCACATTCGGAGAACTAAGTCTCAGGAGAACAGATTGGAGTGTGTGTGTGTGTGTGTGTGTGTGTGTGTGTGCATGTGTGTATGTGTGTGTATGCAAATAGAACTGATCTTAGAGCCATGATGTCATGATAAAGCCAGATGATAGGGATCCTGTGAGTATGTGTTTGTGTGTGTGTGTGTGTGTGTGTGTGTGTGTGTGTTAGTTGTGATGGTGGTAGAGAAGGGAGGGGATGAGACACAATTAGCAAATCTCAGCCTTTGAGCACATGGACCAATGAAACAGGGAAGCAAAGAGCTGGGCATGTAGTTCAGTTGTAGAGCACCTGCCTAGGATGCATGAGCTCATGGGTTTCATGCCAGCTGCAAATGAAAAAGACACAGAGCCCAGAAATAAGCCCCCCAATAATGTTAGTCAGCTAATTTTTGTAGAAATGGCTAAGAATACAAGGTGTTGAGAGATCATGCCTTCTATAAATGTCATTAGGAAAACTGAATGTCCTCTCTGGAAGAAAGCACAGACCCTCACCTCACACTTTTACAAGGGCTAGCTCAAAATAGATTAAAGCTATAAGTCTAAATCACAAAACTATAAAATGCCTTAGAGGAAGCTTCTCTGAGAGAACTTCCAGGACTTTGTCCTGGGCGGTAACTTCTAGAATGCAACTTCAAAACCATAGGCAACAAAAGTAGAAGTAAGAAAATGAGATTGTACCAAACTAAAACTCTTCTCCAGAGCCAAGGAAATCAAGAGTAGAGTGACACAGACAGGAAGAAAATGTTTTCAAATTAGGCCTTGCATAATAAGCTAACATGCAAAATATACTCAATCAATAATAACAAGAAAATGAGTGCTAAACACAGGCACAGGACTTGAATCGGCCTTTCTCAAAAGAAGATATACAAATACTTGATGGCTTGAAAAAAAAGTTCAACATTTTAAGTCTTATAATGCAATATCATTTTACATCTGCTATGCTGGTTAGTATTTAAAATATGAAAGGTAAGAAGCATCAGCAGAGATGCAAAGGAAAGGGAAGCCTGTCTATTAATAGTGAGGTACATTTGTACAGCCATTTTGGAAAATATCAAGGACTTCCCTTATAATACCGAAAATAGAACCACCACAGAAGCAGTAATTGCATCACTGAGAAAGCACCAAAAATAATTGCCATCAATATGCGAAGGAGATATTTTCACTCCAGTGTTTACTGTGGCATTATTGACAAGAACTGAGATATTGGACACAGCCTGTTTTATCATTGACTGAATGGATTTTTAAAACGCAGTGTATCTATACTATTCAGTCCTAAAATAAACCAAGAAATTCTGCCACTTGCTCATAAGCTCTATGAACCCAAAGCACATTATGTGAAGTGACATAAACCAGAAAAACAGAGAAAAAATATTATATTATATTATTAATCTCTCTGATGCACAGAATCTAAAAGAGTTAAATTCATAAAAGTCAGGTGTTGCATGGTAGGGGTAGGTGGAGGGGGGGCAGGGCAAATGGGAGCAACACTGGCCCAAGAGGGCTGCGTAAGCTTAAACAGGAGGAGCAGTTTGGTCTATCACACAGCCCAGGGACTATGTCTAACAAAAATGTACTGTATATTCAGAATGGCTAACAGAGAGGATTTCAAATGTCCTCACCACAAAGCAAGATAAATATGTGAGGTGATATTATGACTAGCCTGATACAATCACACTCACAATGCATACTCATAAATTATCACTATGTATTAATATATATATATTAAATAATGTATATTCATATATTAATAATAAAATTGCCTGAAAGCACTGAGTGTAACTACTAAAAGGTTGAGAGCAAGTGGGGTCAGAGCCCTAAGTGATGGCTCCCATGGACCGAATTCTGCCTGTTTGGAAGCCTTGATTCATGAGTTGGTCTGAGGTTGAATCTCTTGAGCTAAACACGTCAGGAACTGAGTTGATATTTCTGTGTTTCTAGTCTACAACAGAGAGCAATCTTTTTATTTCCTTGGGGAATACACACATAAATGTATATAAATACATTTAAACATATGAGCTTTAAATATAAATATAAGCTATAAATTGCCACCGTGTAGTCAGAGGTAGAAGTCTCAGTTGATCCGTTTACTTCCCACACGTAGAGTAAGACCCCACCACCAAGGCAAAGTGAATGGGGGACACAAATTCAGTTGCACTAAGCATAGGATTACATCCATGGGGTATTAGCGAGGCATAGGATTTTAGTTAGGTAAGCACTATTACAAAACGCCAAGAAGAAGTACATTGGATCATATATGCAAATAGTTATGTATTAAGCCCCGAAGGTCCCGAAAGACTAAAAGCCATGAAGCCCCACTCCCACCCTTCCTTAGGCTGCTGACCTCTCCCCCACCAGACCCCACAGCACTAGACTGGGAAATCTCCTGCGTCCCCTTCTTTGAACGTGAAGGCCAGGATGAGGTCAGGAGTCACCAAGTATGTTTGTACTTCCTGTGAGTTTCTTTTCTCAAAAACACATATAGCAGTAGAAATAACACAGACAGACAGACAGCTGCAGATAAAAAGGTACCCCAGGGCTACTGGATAATTCCACCTAGTGGAATCCTCACTGGTTAGCCCTGGAAAGGAAAGGCCGCCTGGGCAGCTTTCCAGGACGTCGGCGCACCAGGTGGGGAGAGTGAGGTCACCAGTGCAGATTCTGCCCGGGCCTCGCCTCCAGACTGCTTCTCTGCTGCTCTGCAGGAAAGCTCCGCAGGCGTGCTCTTACCTTGTGCTGCTCAAGTTTCCGTTGTATTGTGTTTGCAGTTTCCTCATGGGCCTGCTGAACGGCTATTTCCTCTTTCAGGGCCACCTCTGCCCTGTACAGCCAGGCACCTATGGTGCCGAGAGGTGCAGGGAGAGATTTGTCAAGTTGGCTATGCCAATCAAAGAGCTGAAAGTAAAAAGAAAGAGAAAAATAAATGTTAGAAGACAGCTCCTAACATTTCCCAAATGATTTTTACATTTATACATAAGGCTTAAAATTAAGGGCTGCAGACTATTTAATAAATTTCAAGCCAATATCTATTTTCTGAGCTTGATGCTAAGGAGATAGGGACACAATTATAGTTATAGCCAATTCTGAGGAATCAGAATACTCCTTAGACAAAGAAAAATATTTTTTTCTCTGTACTTTTTAGAGAACGGTCTACAGGGTGTTCAGGGTCCCACTATTAGATCAGACTTGTAGTGATTCTCCTGTTTACAGCCTCCCAAGTGCTGGGATTGCAGGTGCACTCCACCATGCCTAGTCTCAATGGCCAGCTCAGCACACCCACTGGCATGGCAGATAAGGAAAAATATTACCAGGAAGCTTAAGCAGTTTTGTTCTTTATGGGCATAGTGTAAAGCAACCACTAGGTTTCAGAGTGGCTTTTGCTTGAAGCAAGGGAACAGTTGTGCTGACATACTCAGAGGATACAGCCATCCTGCACTGCAGGTATGTGTCTGGTGGTCAGATGGGAATCCCTTTAACACTTCCCACATAATCAAAACAACTTTGGAAAAAATTATAGTTGTTTTGACAGCTCCGGACAAAGATGAGTTTTCAGGATTCTTTCCGTAAACCCCAAATATTCTAACATTCCCTCTATTCTTCCATTTATACAAATCGCAGGCACCATTTCATGGTCTACTATACTATTATCTGATGAAATTCATGAACACATGAGGTTAACACAGTAAATAATATCTGGTAAATTTAAGTCAAACATTCCTGTTAGTTGTAGAAGAGGACCAGAGGCTTGAAATCCAGGTCTTTAAGAATTAATGAAGAATATTAATAGAGAAGACACTCAGCATTTTTCCTTCAGATTCTTGAATGACTAGACAAGAATAGATGTTTATATGAAACATTATAAAATTTTAGGTCAACACTAAAAGGTTATTAACTGCTGATGCTTCCCAGAGAACACAGGACGAGGCTGACTCTGCAGCCCAGCGATCTTCTGGAATAGTCCCTCTTCTCAACAACTCAGCACTAGCTTATACAAAGTGAGGCGCAATCCAGAAGACCTTCCAAGGGTTCAGTCTACCACTGGTCAACAGTGGTGGTGCTTTCCTATCACGGGAAAGAGAGGCAAGGAGGGCAGAGAGCTGCTGAAGCAGCAGCCACTTCCCCCAGGGCGTGGGAAATTTAACAGGTGGGCAAAGATGTCCCAGAGCGAATCCTTTCCCACCTCACACAGAGGCATCAGCACCAGATGAATAACTGTGGAGGAAAAGCTGATGCAAGCGAGTAACTTGACTAATTTACATAAGCTGTAAAGAAATTAATCATGGGAGAACTTACCCTAGAGGACATTCTGTCCCAGGACTGTTTTACCAATGCTTGGTCAAGGGACAATTTGCCATCTCTATGTAACGGCTGTATTAAATGTTCAACCTGTTTCCTTTTTATCTCGTATTGAATTCTGAAGTGCTTAAATGACTGAAAGAAGAAGAACAGCAATAGGTTGACAACGAGTCCAACAAAAAGGAAAAGAAGCAAGGGAAACCACATGTTAAAATAGCAATTATTATTCTCAAAAATACATAGAACAGTAGAAATAATACAGATAGCTGCAGATGAAAAGGCACCCCGGGGCTACTGGAAAATGCTTCAGGAGGTCCACCTAGTGGAATGCTCACTGGTTAGCACAGGAAAGAAAAGGCCCACCAGGAAACTAGCTCAGTGGCATAAGTACTGCCTGGCAAGTACAAGATCCTGAGTTCGAGCCCTGGTACCATTAAAAAACAAGTAGCAATTATTTTTAGAGAGGACATGACATATATGTTATTGGTAAGAATAGTAATCATGAGGATGACGATACTAATAGCATGTGCCATTCCTTAGGCCCTGTCTATGAATTTGACCCTGTGCTCAGTTCTTGACCATACGAGGCTCTGGGGCTCTCCCCTCAGCCTGACACACAGACATGCATTATTCTTGAACTCAAAAGTAACGACAAGTACTACAATCAAGGACACATAGTCAAAGGAAGACTGAAGCCTACTAGTGGGGTGAACCTTTGGCAGGCATGTTTGTGTGCTTTTCTCTTAAGAAAAAACATGTGAATGCATGAGGTGTTCTTTCTAACCTAGAATCTCGCTATTCAGGCTGAACTGCAGTGTTGGCATTTCATGATAAATAAGTGGGTTTCAGGTTGCAGTTTGGCGCTCAGTCTCTAAAAGGCTCAGCATCACTGGACAGGGATTTTCATGTCTAGTAAAGTAACTGACATACCAATACATGTTTGTCAGGAAGAATAGCAAAAAGGGGACTATACCTATGCTGCTAATGTAGTTGCTTTGCTTCAAACTACAAAACAAATTACAAAAATTGGTACACATATCAAAATAATGCTTAAAGATATCTAAATTGATGTTCACCCCATTATAAAGAGGGTATTTTAGATGATTTATTTACATAATAATAATATTTATTTATATAATGGTCTTTTGCATTACTTTCATGACATTGAAATATCAAGTACTATACAGTATAGTTAAAATAAATTTGCAGCACATAAATATAGGCTTATCAGTAATGTAAAAGTAGCTCTTTTATACTTCTACGTTTTACACTAAATTAGCATATCCCAAACATGTGACTCCAAGTCCAAATCCAAATAGAAGACACCATCAAAATGCACAATTATGTTACAGAACAGGCAAATAGCCTGACAGAATGCAGCAGAAAACATGCTGAGGACAATTCTAGAATTCCCTGCAAACAGGTAATTCACAGGAAGAACACTGGGGGGTGATAGTGGATAAAATTTTACCATAGGTTTGTTTCCTATTCTATAACTTGATATTTTAAACATACCAAAACGTAAAATCTATCTTTAATTCTATCCAAAAGAATTCTATGCTTGGAAAAACTGGAAAATAATGGCATTTATTGGTAAATTGAAGTAAGAAGAAAATGGTGATGGCTTATTGAACAGTTAAAAGAAAATAAATACCAGAATGTCCCTAAGCCTGTTTTTAAGCAACCAAAGATCACTTGGGGGCCAAAGAAGTGCTCCTGTCCTTTATCTTTCTAGTCTTGTTTCCTTCTCATTGCGTAGCATCTGAACAGCAGAAAACTTTATAGCCTGGGATTCACTTTCTGATGATTTGTGCTAAAACTGACACTAATGTCCAAATAATTCTACTCTAGGATAGCTGTTCTTAGTTTTATTTTTTAATCAACTTCAACGGATCTCATCGAAAAATTTTTGAGTGGAAAGCATAACACTGAACTTCAAAGAAAGATAGTACATCAATAATAAACATATATTTATTCCCTTGCCATGTTCAAAAATATAATGGAGATACAATGCATTTAAATTTAGCCATATTTACTTTTTTATATAAAATAACAAAATTTACGTTTCGTAGCCAAATGTGACTGGAATATTATACAGATTTTAACACCCTAGAATCCAATTCAAAATACACTATATTTAGTTTTATTCCTAAAATGAAATAGTGTTTTAAGTCAGAAGAAAATAACAATGCAACATAAAATGAATCACAATGTTCTACTAGGAAAAATCTGTTATAAAATTTTGTGTGTTGGAAGCGAAAACTGGAATCAGAAGTTCAGTTAGCAACAGTGTACGAGTATTGGGGGTAACAACTAGGAAGATCTCAGGAGAAGCTGGTCCCTTTAGTGGACCCATGGAAAACAGTCACAGAGCAATCCTTTATTAAAATCAGTTCACTTTGTAGTAATTGTGGTTGACTCATCCATTATTTACTTATCTGGTTTTTGTGTTAGGTAACACGTATAAAACTGTAGATTACAGAAAAAAAATGACTCCAGGCCCTTTGTTGTGGGGATCTGTAAGATTGTCCCCAAGAGGCTGACCTCCCAGAGCTCCCTTCACAGGTGATGTGGACACGGCACAATTCAAAGTTGCCCAGGCAGATAGAAATAGAATTATAAAATTATGTGCCAATTTAAAATAGTGCTTATCATTTCCTTAGAGATGATTTTCATCAATGTGATTTGGAAGATTAAGCAAACTTAAATGATATATGAAAATCCTACCCATGTAGTTTTTGAAAAGTTGAAATCTCTTTTCCCCACATTACCTGATACTTATCCTGCAGATTTGATTCTGTCACCTGCGCCCTTGTCAAATCTCTTTCAAATTGTTCTATCCAAGCTTTCACTTCCTTTAGAATGAGTCTGTCTTCTCTCTGGAAGGAAGCAACATCACAGCTTTATCTGTAACTGTGTATTTACTCAGTCGGAGAGCAGATTTCATGTTTAATACAGCCCAACAGCTTCTGAGAAAAAAAAAAAAATGTCTTGCCCTTGCTCCCACCCCTTTTGGAGTATAAGAAGAAAAATTTATTCTAGAAAAATATTTGTCTTGTTAATACTGAAATTATCTACCTCCATTGTTTCCCCCGGCACTAGTGGAACTCAGTGTTCCCTTAAATTAGAGCACTAACTTAATAAAGAAAATGTGCTCAGAAGAGTAGGTTTTGAGTCCAAAAATACTCTGAAATTGCAACAGCTGGAGCGCAACCATATGCCCATGGATGCTTCCCAGCCCAAGGCCATTGGTAAGCCAGAGGACTGTTCTGGATGGGATTAACTTTGACAGACTCCCAGGAGGGGCTGTCATAATAACATTGGAGCAATTGCTTACGCTGTTATGTTAAAATGATATTCAGTATTACAACATAAACTTCCAACAGACAGAAAGCACATTTAGCTGGCTTGGTATCCTTCCTAGATCCTTGCCACATGGATCCTGCTAGACTCACCAAGTCACCTGTTGAACAAATACATCCAAGAGGCATTTGCATATATGTTTCCATGAATGACAACAGGAGTTATTCTAGTTCGGGCTTTGTGAACAGACTCAGTGAATTCAATTTTTCATCAAGATTTCATATCTTGAAAGAATTACAACATAATCATAAGCACATTTGACACGTTTATGAAATTTGCAAGGAGCTTTCAAATAGAGCATCTCTTTTGCTGCCCACAGGCCTATGACACATGTAAAATGACTCCTTGGGAACAGGTGAAAGGTCCAAGTGAAAAAGAACACTTTGTATGGTGTAGTGGTGGATATATTGTGTCAACTTGAGAAGTTTAGAAATGTAATTAGGTGACTCAGCAGAGAGTCAGGGTTCCTACTTTATAAACAGCCTCCTCCTGTGCAAGAGGAGGGCACGGACTTTGTGTGAGTTCTACATCCCTCCCCAGAGGAGCCTGCTTATAATAAAAAGAGGGGAGACATGCAGCTGCTGCTGCTCCTTCCTTAGCTCTTTGCTGTTTTCTGCTACCATGAACTGCTGCCCTCTGCCATGTGCCAGTTGAGTAAGGACTGAAACCTCCACAAGCTGTGAATTAAATAAACTTTTACTTCCTTAATTCTGGCTGTTGGGTATTTTGTCCCAGCAACAAGTGAAATGTAGCTGAGACATACGGGCAGTTGAACGGCATCAAATTTTGATTAGGATACATATATATATATATATATATGTTGTGTCATATAGGCTGCCTCTCTCTGTGTCTGTGTCTCTCTCTGTGTCTCTGTGTGTGTGTGCCTCTCTCTCTGTCTCTCTGTCTCTCCCTTCTCTCTCTCTTCCTCCTCCCTCAGCCCTCACTCCCACTCTTCCTCCTATTTTATCATCATTTGTGGAATCATGACACACCCTATGGTTCTGGGGACAGCTGGGATTTCTCAGTGTTATATGGAGGACAGACACTGGCACATGCTGTTTGTGTGATCCCCGACTTCTCTCGCTTTCTGGAGCTCCAGAAGCAGCTCTCTCCTGCCTGAATGCTTATCCTCCCATTTTCCTATGCACCTTTTCTGGGAAGCTTTTCCTTTTTTTTTTTTTTTTTCTTCTGTATTTTAGGGAAGGGTGTGCAGGGTGTTCAGGGTCTCACTACTTGATTGGACTCATAGTGAGTCTCCTGTTTACAGCCTCCCAAGTGCTGGGATTCCAGGTGCGCACCACCACACCCAGTCTCTGGGAAGCTTTTTCTGATCCAGAGGTCTCTACTAGGGATCTGTGGCCAGTAGTCATGATATGGAAACTTGAACTCAGAAACATCTAGAACATTAGGGAGGCATAGTTTTAGATGTATCTACAAATGACTGACACACGGACCAGGAAATAGAAGAAAATCTACCCCAGTTGTGGGTGGCCCTTCGTGGACTGAATAACAACTAGATCTTCCCTCCAGTTTTCTAGTACACAGATGGCCACCGCAGACAAGTCTTCCATCTCTGATCCTCTAAGACCACTTAAAAATCTACTTTTGCAGTTATTCATGTATTTTGATTGATTAATTTCTTTAGAAAAGCATAATACATGGTTTGTCTTCTACACAAGTAGTTCACAAAAGCTAATATGTTCTAGAACTATCGGGAAGGGCTGTAATAACTAAATGGCTGGGCAAACATGCACTTTCTGGCTCAAGAGCTCTAGAGTAAAACCCACAAGTTTCTGTCTGTAGCCTTCCCAGGTGAACCCGAGACTGCTGGTCTACTGAATACATCCTCCCCTCCTGCATGGCATTGCATTTCCTCCATGACTGTGTCTTTCTCCTGCAAACTCCTCATTTATATTTTCACATTTATTGCATAACTCAGGGTCACTCGACGTAGACTGTGGAATCATGGGTAGTGGGCACCATAGTCACTAGGGGAAAACACGGACTTGGATACTGCAAGGCTTCAGCTCTTCCCCTAGTGGTCCTGAATGATTGGGTGAAAGGAATTAGGGCACAGTTTTACTGTCAGCTGGTTTTCATGCCTTGGTAGTGCATCCCCATGCTCTCTGAGGAAAAGCTGCTTTTGAGCTATCTCCAGGGTCTGGTTTGAGAGGTCTTTGTGGCATTCATGCCAGCAACCCATATCACACTGAGCATCGAACTTCATTGCCAGCCTTCTAGGACAGGCTTCTCAGCACCTTCTGCCTCTGGGGACTATTGCTAAGAGCAGCCGTCAACTCCTAGGTGAAATGACCTCACAAAGCCATCTGAGGATTATGTTCTTGAAGCAACTTTTTAAGAGTCCATTTAGTCTATTATTTTCTGCTGATGGAAAAGTGTCAAGCAAGTTGCAAAAGTAAGAGATATGACTATTTATACACACAACTGTCTTTTTAAAGAGGCAAATGAAGTTCAAAACGATAGTCTCAGAGCCCACCAGTTTAGTGAACATTTTCTATTGATAACTTTCATGTGCATTCAAGGAACAGGGTGTCTATTTGCCTACAGACACCCTAAGCTATAAGCAGCATCCTCTCTCTCTCTCTCTCTCTCTCTCTCTCTCTCTCTCTCTTTCACACACACACACACACAGGTACACTGATATTTTTGTGCTCTCTCTC